AAAAGCCCCAAATCTCTTATTGAAACTCTCACTTACCACGACGGCCCGACGAGATGGCGAGCTCAGAAACCTTGAGTAAAGTCGCAGTGGAGAGCAGACGACGTTATCGATCACGACCTGCAAAGCAAAAGAAGCGAATGGTCAAGAGAGAGACGCATAGCAGAAAGAGAAAGACAGATGAAGAGAGAGATCTGTGACGACGAGGGAGGAAGAGAGATGAGGAAAATTCAGAGTTCGTTCAAGAGAGTTGAGAGAGCGCTGCGAGAAGTAGAGGAGGGAATGTTTTCGAGTTGGGAGGAAATCTGAAAATTAGGTCGAGAGCGAACTCACTTAAGGAGCCTAGCGTGTTTTAAAAGACGACCTTTGTAATTTACAAACGTCGTCTTTTAAAACACAACTCTATTTTAGTGGTGTCTAAAATGGTATATCACGACGCTTTTGTAAAACCGTCATCTTTTAAAATACAACGACGGTTTTAAACTACACGGTCGTCTATTTTGTGTCGTGGTTTTACAATTTTGTAGTAGTGTCATTTCCGTTTTGGTAAGAAAACGCAGACATCGCAAGCTCTTTGTCTATCTGCCGAAAACACCCAAAATCTCAAGCCTTAATCATTTCTTTATGCTTATTTTCTCTTAGCTCCCACGCCACAAGCCTCTCATGTCGAGCCTAATAGTATCTTGATTCACCAAATCAAACTATCATGCCAAGCATGTGCAATATCAATACACTATCTCCAACTCTTCGTCTAACTGCTGGAAACATCAGCACAAAACACCCAGCTGCTGGAAGAAGAACAAAGTACTCCCCTGGGACTTGCTTCTCCCTCGGGATGCTTTGGGCCTAATTCTCGCTAACTCAGAAAAATGGGCAACGAATGCTTGATTTACCACTCTATAGCGGCCCAAGAATCAACAAGCCCGGACAAACCTTTCGACGGAGAAAGACCCTCACACATGGTAGCCAAATCAGTTTACTAGTTTTATTTACTTGCAAGCTGTTGAGGCCCAAAAAATCCACGGCTTGGCCCAAATGAATTCCCGGCCCAGCGCAATCCCTTATTGAGAAAAAACCCGACTTGGAGCACACAAAAGTCCGCAATGCACGAGTCACACTCCACGTGCCATGCCAAATAAATAATCCGCCATGCTATGAATCAAGATTAAGATTATAATGTGCATTAGCTCTGCAAATCCATGCTAATTATCTCATCAAGCATAATAATAAAAGTATGCCAAGCGATATGCCATGCCAAGCAGGAAAAACCAGCATACATACCCGTTTCCTTTCTCCATCAGATCTGGCCATGGAAAGAAGAGGAACGGGGCTTGCTTGAGTGGGTTGTGGTATGGATGGTAATAAGTTGTCATGAGACCCATTGATGGACCAAGAAATGGAAGTTCCGGGTCGCTTGGGAGCCTCGGAATTCATGCACATTTCTTAGGCCCAAAAACATGGGTAAGTACAAGAGAGAAAATATCCCAACCAAAATGGCCCACTAAAATTAACCAAAATAGTACATTACCTTAGTGAAAAAATAGTCTATTACCTTGGATAGCCCACGAAGCCCAAATGTTGATGCACTTAGCCCACTTATTGGATAACTTGGCTTTCCTTATTAAAAAGCCCATACAAATTGAATAAAGGGAGTCCAAGGCCCTCAGCACTTGGTTGAAGCAGAAAACCACAAAGGGGCTAGGAGGATCACATGTGCAGAATTGCTGGAAGGCTCCAGCGCAGGCAAGGGAACAAGTTCCAAGCTGAAATATCCGAAGGACCAAGGGATAGTGGTGTGAAGGGGAAGATGCCATCCTTTGAACCAGCATACATACCCGTTTCCTTTCTCCATCAGATCTGGCCATGGAAAGAAGAGGAAAAGGGAGAAAAGAGATATATGAAAATAGGCATTCTTCAGAGGCAGCCGCGGGAAAGGGGGCCTTAAGCTCCCAAAATCCCTGATTTTATGCAAAGGAGCAGAGTAAATTTCACCACAAGAAGATGATTGAAAGGATGAGGAGAGAAAGGAAGGGAAAAGCTTGGCAAAATAGGAGGGAAGTCATTAGGGTTTCTTGAAAACAGATGACTTCCAGCAGCTATAAATAGGGCCTCTTCCACCCAACGAGAATCATCCACAACCAGAGAGCAAGCTTCCTCTCTTACTTCAAAACCCAGCAATTTTCGTGCTTAGTTCATCTCCTCCCTCAGCTTTCCCCTTTGTCATGCTATTCTGACATTTGACAGAGTCACTGTCGAGCTGCCGGAAATAGCGCCCAAGCCATCTTTTCCTTTCCTTCCCTCATTCCTAACCAAACCTCTCTTCAAAATCCCTTTTCTTAATACCCATATTTCCCCAGGAACACTTAATTTTCTCTTTAGTACTAAACTCATGGCAACTAAGCTCCCATGCCACAAATTTCTCATGCCAAGCTAAGATTCTATCTGTAAACACCAAGAAATTATCTGTAATTTGTTGCTATTTTCATTGGTGAAGGTAACCAAGGAGTTTCTTAAGGCCTCACTACCCTTTTGAGACATCCTTGGGACTTGATCTTCGAACTCAGACACAAGGGGACACTGGCATCAGATTGCTCCTTGCAGCAGCCCATCCCACTTGCTGCTACCAGAAGAAAAAGTCCCCTACACAAGCTGTTGAGATATCAATGAAATAAATGGTTGAGTCATTTAACCCATCAGTACGTGTCCTCATGGTATCCCTTCTTATCTTACTTTGACTTGGAGTGAAAGAAAAATTACTTGGGCATTAAGATAAAAGGTGTTGATCTTTAAAGATTGAAGTTATCTCATAAACATAGCTACCACCCTCAGTATCCTGTAAATACAACATTTGGTTCTTTAAATCACATTTCCCTTTTTAGTAAAGCGTAGAGGCAATAGAACAAAGAGAGAGAGAGAGAGAGAGAGAGAGAGAGAGAGAGAGAGAGAGAGAGAGAGAGTGAGTGAGACTGAGTTTGTGAATGCGGTGGAGAATTGGGAATAGTCTTACATTTCTTGCAAAAGCATTAATGTCAAGGTAGGGGGTTTCTTCGGGGGCCTTTTACGGGAATTGATTTAATTAAATTTCGTGAGCACTATATTATGCTTGATATTATAATGGATGTTCTTGATGTTATATAATATTCTTGATGTGGGGTGTTTACGTGTTGTTAACTATTTGATTAATGTTGGCATGAATGATTACATTGTTTTTAGATATAAGAGATATGTGAAAGATATAATTATGTCATGTCATGGAAATTGGTTGGAGTTCTTGGGTTGAGAAAATAATTATGGAAAATAGGGTAATGGAAATATTCTTTTGTGTAGTTGAGTCTAACTCTTGGCAAGTACCTGATCTCATGGATCCCACAGTGTTGGTTTTAAAACATTTTTAAGAAGTTCATTTGAATATTAAACATGCATTTAATCAAATTAATCGCAGCGGAAGAATATGGTGGTTGTTTAAATTCAAAAACAAAACTTCTTCCAAGTATCTTAAGCCATGAACATTGATATAGTGCACATGGTTTTTATTGGGTGATGCGGGACTAGCGACAAGGAGTTAGACAAGATGACAAATAAAAGGGGGAATTATGGGATGATTGAGATAAGGGGGTTAGTTCATATAAATAGGCATTCTGGACCAAGTGGTATAAGCATGGTATGTGACATGTAGGTCTGCTTGTCCAGTTATATGAATTAAAAAGAGTAGATGAAGAACATTCATGCATTATTATTATTGATATGATAATTGACTAAGTGATTGCATGTCACTTAATTTAGTTATATCAATTTACCATGAAAAGTTTATGTCCCTACTGAG